CGAAGTACTCGGAGAAAACCTGCCCCAGCGCCACTTTGTCCACCACAAATCCCACTTGACCAGACCCGGGATCGAACCCGGGCCGCCGCGGTGTGAAGCCAGCGACTAACCGCTTGAGTTATGGCGCGGCCCTTCTATATATCTAACTTCCAGTATGAATTCCCCTGTATACTCGTACTGTTTTGATATGGAGAGAAATAGAAACGCCTCCAGTTATAAATTGCTCAAATAATTGAGTGCCAGAAAGGGAAAGCAAATTCTTTGAATTGTGTACACGCAAGCTACATAAGCGGTGCGAAATGCCACGCGAAGACGTGCTGGAAGGAAGGTCAGGCATTGTGGCTACTATAGTGATACTATTTGTACTCGTATTGCATTTGGCACTTCCATAGCAAACGGCGTGATATGCGGTTTCTTGTCCTTAGCATTCAATGTGATTCTTGTAGTTGAAGATTTTACACGTAGAACGCACTCTTCGTGAAGCTTTAGTGAATTACAAATACTTGATGTTCAAGACTGAGCATGGTAAGGAGTATGTTGTTATTATGTTTGTAATATATATAAAACAGAAGGTGTGCGACTACATATGTATGATATACAAATGTATATAAGATACGCCGTCTACGCAAAATTCTGTATTTAAAAACAAAAAAAGACACCACTGTATCAACATTTGCTTTTATTATGTTTTCACATTAAACTTCGCTTAGTGGGGGTTGGAGTCCAGCTGGGTCCACTCCGTACGGTGGCCACTGATTGGCCTATTGTACCTGACCCGGGTGATTATGATGATGGAGAATTTGGTGGAAGGAAGATTGGCAGGGGAAACCGAAGTACTCGGAGAAAACCAGCCCCAGCGCCACTTTGTCCACCACAAATCCCATTTGAACAGACCCGGGATCGAACCCGGGCCGCCGCGATGGGAAGCCAGCGACTAACCACTTGAGCTATGGCGCGGCCTTGTTTTCACATAATGTTAATACAGCTGTGTCTTCTTTGTTTTTTTAAATACAGTATATTGTTGTGTATACGGCATACCTTATATATTTTTGTGTACCTTATTTATGACACACAACAGGCTGAACACTATTAAGTTTACATATGTATGCCATCTATGTATGTACATTATGACGTTCTAACGCCTTAGTACGGGTGCACACGGTAAAGTACTTGGTCGAGGCGCTATGCTACTAGCCGGAAGATCGCGGGTTCGATTATCGATGACGTCATTGGATTTTTCAGTTGGCCTAATCCTTCCAGCCGCACTATGGCCCAGGGGACGACTCAGCCTCTAACAGAAATGAGTGCCACGAATCTTCCTGGGGGGGGTAAAGGGCTTTCGGCGCGTGAGGCTGACCTCACCGTCATCTGCGAGCGGACTGTCTAGAAAACGTGAGGTCCTCGACATCTCACAAACCTATGGGTCTCCACGGCCTTTACTTTTTAACGCCACGTTAGTTTTCACGTACTGACAAAGGTGATAGATCCATGGTCGAAACTGTGCTGTCTGAAGGATAGACGTGTGATTCGGTGTTTTAATGACTGGAAAGGGAATCGAGATAAAGGTACGGATGGGATAAAAGAAGGAACGAGGACGAAGGATGTAAATACAAAGAAATGATTCCCTGTTGAAGTTCAGCGTTCTTTCCGAAATTGTTGTTTTTGAAAGGGAAAGTGCAAGGACGTTTATGGTCCTCACTCCAGTCTTGAAGTTGGGCCATTCATCATTGAAAGTTTCTTAAAGGCGCAATTATACGTTAGAGAATTGTTACGCATCAGAATGTGAACCACAATCAGCACCTGCTCATATTTTCACATTTCTCTTAATTGGGATTATTTTCTGTAATTACTGAAGTTTTCCCGGGAGGGGGGGTAAAGCGGCTAGGGCGTGAAGCTGACCACTCGCCTTCGACTAGTGTCGCCCGTAGCCGTACCACTGACACCACCAGCTTTATTTGTAATGAAGATGTAGTAAGGAACATTCAAGGGTGACTTAGTCCGATTCTTGGTTTCAAGAACATGGCCTGCTTCACTGCTACAAAGACCAGGCAGGAAGCACCTTGCAGAGTTTCTTGGAAATTCAATTCGAAGGTTGACCTGCGGGATCCTTTGGTAAAGTTACACTTGACAGGTTTTGAAACCCGTAAGTCAAAAGTGGGAAGGTCCCCAACCCACGCTATGGTATAATTTTTCAAGTAGCTGTCAAAAACGACGTTAGGACTTTAAGGTTCAAAGTCCCAAACTACAGCTAGGTGATTGGAGCAGTGAGAATTGCGGTTAACTCCCTAAATTCGAATTGTTCCTATCAGCCGAAATTAGGGTAGTAACTTTGAGGCGGAGCTGAAGCTGTGAAGATTTCTTGCTTGAAAGCAGAGTCAGTCTGCGAAAGGAGTCTCTGAACAACTCTCCAAGTTTACAGCCGCAAAATTAGCATCAATGGCAGCCTGGTTCAAAAGTCAAAGTTAAAAGCAAAATTATGTTTAAGAGTGTTACTGGAATAACTGAATAACTCAGCAAAATTAATTAGACGCAAAAATGAGTGTGAATCTTAATTTGGCTTAAAGTTTAAGTGAAAGTGTAATCACTTCTACGTGTTGTACTAAAAAGTAGTCGTTAAACATCTAGCCAGGGATCCGGTCGCAAAAGTTTGAGTGATTTCAAGTTTGTTTAATGGGGTAAGGACAAGTGCTGCTACCTGAACATCAAAAATTGCCCATTAAACAGTGGGTGGTAGTGCCTAACTATAAACACTCTTATCTTTCCCGCTAACACGAGGCCTGTATGCACCCTGAGACTGACTCTCATTGCCCTATGCGAATGCAGTACCTATCATTTGTAGTTTCCGGTTCATCCCCCCTTTTTCCTGAAAAGTAAGCCTTTATAGTAAGCTTACTGGCGCCCAGCATTCATGTAACCCATATCCCACAAACAACAAATATCCACAACAACAAAAAGGGAAGAACTGGATAAGAAGGACGCAGCAGCAACCTGCAAACACGGAGTAACGACAGGTGAGAGGGAACGGCTAGAGGAGCAGCTGCAACCAGCAACAAAGGGGCCAAAAGGGCGGTTAGAGAGGTGGTGGCGCCAAACGTAAGGGCTGGACGGCTAGACGTCGTCAAAAATGGGTGGAGCTATACCACCACTCCCAGACATATATTATGTCATAGTGCTTAATTAATTAAGCACAGGGAAAACTTTATCTTTCACTGAAATTTAGCGTAATGTATGCTTATTTGATCATTATTTCAATAAATTTACTCCTGATTATATATAGGCTATGTATGTATGTGCAAGGGGGGGCCCATAAAATCCGGCCCTTGCACTGCGACCTTTAATGATCTATTGTACTTCCCCTTTGGATTAACCCTTTATTAATCCTACACTTCGAATGAAATGTAGGACTTTATTTATGAGGGCGTCATAAAGTCACTAGGTTCCACGAAGAACTGACCCAGGTGACGAAATCTTAAATAAGCTATGGCCTCACAGTCACATAGGACGTGTGTTGTACATCTGTTTACGCAGTGAAACAGCAGATCACTTGATTGCTGATGACATCACATGTTGATAACAGGTAGCTAAGCTTATTACTGATGAGCCGCGAGAGGACTTTCCAAGTTCAGACTGGCTTGCGTCACTCACCTGTTGCGTCATGCCCAGCGACAATTTTGTCATTTTTGAATTTCTTATAGAACGATCACGGTGCTGCACAATTAGTGTAGCGACGTTTGCATTAACGAACACTTATTTAAACAACACGCAATGCGTAATCATGGCTCAATAATTTATAATTAAATAATTTATTAATACTGCACGGCCCATATATTCTGAATAATCTTGATCTGCAT